CGATATGGGACGAGAGTTGACAGGGAGGGTTGACGATCTATCCCATGATGTTGGAATACTACAGTCTTCCGTTGTCGACCTTCTAGATACAGTAGCGGCGCTTAGGGGAGATTTAGCCGGCAGACGATGGGGGGACAGAGGGGATGGCGGAGACCATGATCGAGAGGGTGGCAGAGATGGTGATGGAGAGGGGGGTCACCCACATTTTTGGCGTGATGAGACATTGGAGTCCTTGTGGTTGTCTATGGAGAGGGTGGCCCCAATGGGGATGGGAGAGGGGACTACGGAGGGGATGGCCCCAACGGGAGGGGCGGAGGAGGTGACCCCGGAGGTCGAGAGGACGCCCGGCGTGATTGAGGGTAAGAGACATGCTGTTGATAAGACGGAGCAGTTGGTCGGCAAGAGATTAAGAGTGCCGTCATAGTATGTTGTTTTCCTCTTCACGGCTGAGGCCAAGAGGAGGACGTTCATCGATGGGACGTACCCGAACTTATTCGGAGAGGTGGACAATGCCAAGTGGAAAGCGTTCGAGACAGAGTGGAGGAGAATTATCCCCGGGTAAGTATTGTATGATTTTAATAAAGCACTGTACACTAACTCGTCTACGCTTATTTTAATATTTCCCTGTTTTTTACAGAGCTAGCCGCACGATAGGACAAAGGACGATCTCGGACCCTTACAAGTGGTTCCACAATATCACCACTGCGGGAGCTTGGCTCGCCGACGATGTAAGTGAACTATTCATTTCGTGTTTTTCATGTATATGTGACCTTGTGTTTATTAAATGAATAACTCATACTTTTTCGGTGTTTCCTGCTGCAGCACATCGACCTGGCCATGGACTTGCTGCGAGATCGAGCTCAAAGACATCCAAAATCATTTGATGTCCACGGTCAAGTCATATTAAACACCGAGTTCCTGGGTGCCGTTACCATAGAGTATCAGTCGCTCGTGCCGTTACCGTAGAGTATCAGTCGCTCGCACATATGGGTAACGAGTACACGGTGCCAGAATATATGCTCGAGTGGGTGATAGGACTGTCACCGAGTGTCGGGGAAAATCATGGGAGGATTGTACACATATGTACATTCCAGCGTACATCAATAAACACTATGTTACGCTGGAGATCGTTTTTGTTGACTCGACTATATATGTGTACGACCCAGATCATTCATGTTTGA